GCCTTTGTTTTTCTAAAATCATTTTCTTCTATAACAAGATGTTTTGGTTTTATCTAAAAAAAATAACTCCGGCCATCAGTACTGTCCTAATTTGATACTTCATTTTTTCGTTTGTGTAGCGTTTGTAAACTAATTATTAGTAAACTGCAGAGCATATAATTTGATTACAACTAATTTCATGCAAATCTGTATATTGCTAACTTTTCATAAATTATCAGTATTTTATCAGTTACTTTTGATTGAATCGCTCAAATAGACAAATTTCTGTTGATAGATATTCATATAAACGATAAAATAGTCATCAGTACTACCCTCAAAATTGTGCTTTTTTGTTGTTACACTGACCTTTTTGAGACTGTAAAATGATATGTGTACCACTGAGGTGTTACTGATAGCTGCATCAGCTATGGAAAGAACTATCAAATAGGAAGCAATCGTTGATCCCTAACAAAATGCTGCACTTCATTTATCTTTATTTTATCAAATTCTAGAGCAGAAATATACGACAACAAATAACTAGTAAATTGTCAAATAAAATATTTTTTTGTTGTCTTCAGCAGTATGACTTCTTGACAAGCGCCATGAAATGTTGCATTTATTAATTGTTAAAGTTTTGCCTAAACGTCGACATCGGTAATTAGCATCTTTATCCAACCAGCGATAGATTTATAATTTAGCTAATTTGACAGAACAGTAACATCTTTAACCGATCAGTTATTAACGAATAAATGTTGCTGTAATCAGCTAATATGCAGGGTTTTTCTATTTCCTGGTTACGCCTTTTTATAAAAACAACATTAAAATGCTGCTAAGCGCACTTCTGAACTTGGTTTAAGCGTATTTTGTTACATTAAAATGACCTCTTACATGCGCAGAAATTAGATATCATTTGTTGGTAAAAAACATGTAAGCATTGTCTGATTCGAGGACCAAACTAAGAGGCAAATTTTTATGCCGACTAAAAAGGGAAAAAATGTCGCTAATCATTATCGCTACTGCTTCACTTAAAAAGCAGCAGTCAAATTGCGAAGATTTGCAATTTGGCGAACTGAAAGAAAGTAAAGACAAACCCAATTCGATTGCCACGCCGAGTACTTCCACTGCCATAGCCGGTTATTCGCAATCCTTTATCACGCTTTTCTGCAATGGATCCAATACGTGACAGTGGCGGTTTTACCTAAACCAATTTTTTACTAGCTCTACTTTATCAAGACATAATTATATAATAATTATCACTAATACATCGTCACATAATAAATACACATAAATTTAGAAAAAATTATTTTTTCTTAACAAAAGTTTGTATGATCACTGCTTATTGTACCGTTTTCTCATCACCAACTATAAAATAAGTTTCAATGTTTCTATCAGCCAGATATTTTGAGCGTTTTTTTCCTTCACCCGGAATAACATTGTATGCACCATCAAGATAACGTAGCGTAGCTTCTGTTATATGCACTTGACTGAAATATAGAAAATTTCTAGTTGGCAATTCATCCCCGAACAAGACTACTTTTTGCTACTTCTGAGTTACATTCTTTGTGACGTCGTATTATCTAAGCATCAACAAATCTATTGTCTAGCAACTACAAAATTGTCAAAATTCAGTTTAAAAATAACACTTACTCTACAGTCTAAAAAAATCTAGCTTACCCTGGTTTACCACTGCTTTCCATATGATTAGCCAAAGTGACATCGTCACTCCAGACATCAAACTGCCACTTTTTAAGTCCTAATACACCGCAGTGTGCTCGTCCTGAGTGGATACCGACACGCATGTCAACATTAACCCCAGTTATTTCTCTTACAAGCCTTTAAGATATAACAATTTTTGAAAGCTGCTTTCCTCGATTTCTTTGAATTTATAACTTTAGTATTTGCGGAATTACAGCTGTAATGATTAATAGGTTTGAAATTAGTGATAAATTTTGAAGCTATACTTGATATTTTCAATCATTTCTAGTCCCATTCCAACTGCACAGTGTGCGTGATACTCGTTTTTGTCTGGTATACCGGATACACAGTAATAGCAATCGCCTAAGATTTTAATCCTCATACACTGATGTTTGTTGGCAAGAACGTCAAATCGAGCAAACAGATTGTTCAACATCATCACCAACTCTTCGGCATTACATTCAGATGCTAATGCCGTGAAACCGCATATATCAGCAAACAGGATACTGAAGTTATTTGATATATACATAGGTGGATTTTGCCAATCATCTGTATTAACTACTCTGTCACTGTTATTATGCAAACTTTTAAAAAAACTGCTTTCATTCATTGTACATTACTAGATTATTTTCTTTCTGCTTTTGTCTTTTGAATATATCTCACCTAATATTTTCGTGTTTTGTTATGTATATTTTATGAAACATCGTTGCTTTCTGTTTTCCACCGGCGAAATCCTTTTTGACATCAAATGCAATATGCATTGGTAACACCGATAACAGAATATCCTCTTGTTTGATCGTTTCACGAGACAATTTTATTCTTCCTTCGACACACTTCCTTAAAAATTTTTTCTCAACTAACATGATTCATTTTGGTCAGCATTTAAGTCTTCCATTTTGCGTCTATGTTTTACTTGTGGTTTTTTTTTTGCAAAAAAAAAATCTCATTTTGACTGAATTACTGTAGCTAAGAGATATATCAAAGTAACAGTGCAAAAAAGAGTTTGATTTATTAAGAGACATCTCATTTTTCCATCATCTTTATCTTCTTCAGACGGCCGAACAATCGTTGCTGTCAGCATCATTTCGCTTCTTTTACATCCTCATGTCTTCGTTCTGCATTCCGTCTTCCCCTTCCCTCTCCCTCCCCCCCCCCCAAAAAAAAAAAAAAAAAAAAAAAAA